AAACTACAGCAATTATTGCAATAACAAAAGACAGTCGTCATGGACAGTTACCGAAAGACTAGCTTGGTGCTCTAAGTACGATGATTGCTATTTCTGAGAACATATAAGTCTTTGAGCAGTAAAAGGCCCGGTTTAAAAAGGGGGTCGGAGCCAAGTTAAAAAAAACATAAACTGAAACAAAATTGGGTGGGAAGTGCCAAGCACAGAGTTTTGCTAAAGAGGTGCTATTAAGAAAGTGCCCAATACATAGATGATAAAAGATTCGTCGCCTTGCTTTACAGAAGTGTGTATATAACTTAGATATACCGATAACTGTTGAATCCAGTTTAATGGAACAAGCCAACCAGAAAAACCTCATCGGTTATGGAGAGGTTCGAACCCAGGGTAGAAACCACAGGACTCCGGTACTGCCAAACGATTTTTAATTGACCACGGCTTTAGCTTAAATAAGCTCAAGTCTAAGTGAGATAATGTGCTGGCTGGGTCCGTACATATGAACTGCATACGCAGATGCACTGGCAGAAAAAATCTATGAAGTTACGCTGAGGAGGGAGCATAAAAACAACTATGCATAGAAACTGATTGGCCAAAAACACATGCAGATACTGCATATATGCAAAAGATAATAACGAAATACCTTGTCGATAGCACGATTCACACCCTCTAAACGCGGCCAATCTTCGTCTTCGAACTTTGCTACGGAACTGTAGCTGTCCAGGACAGACTGTGCTGCCTCAAATTCAGTCTGGGCTGAACGATACTGTTCGGAATTTCGTCGTATGTCCGAAACAAGCTGCTGGCGCCTGGCAAACAGTTCAAAATATGGCCGGGACTTTTCGATGCTTGACTTTAACTTTCGATAGCTGGCGGAAAGTTCTTTTGAACCTTCAGTGAGGCTAAGCTGAAACTGACGGCGGCATTCCTAGTGAATACAATTAATTAGCAAAGCACGTACTTCTAACTGTGTTTCTAACTGATTTATGGACGAAGATGCTTGATTAAGTTTGTCTAATTCTACCTAACAGACAAGGCGAGTTAAAAAATCTAAGACATGCCTTGACCTCTTCCGAATAATCGCCAAGCATCTGAGGCAGCGCCGACGCTCAAACAAACCAGACTGAATTGCGCGCGGTATCAACTTGGCCTATCGAAGTCGAGGGTGGAGGGCGAGACGGCGTCATGTAGTCATACCGATATATCATGGAAAAACTATACTTTAGACGAGGACAGCTGAATGAGGTCCTGCGCTGTGCTATCAAAAGTTTGGTCCGAGCTCATGACCAATTATTTATCAGACCCTAGCACAACGGGATTATTCTCCGCTCCAAATGGGACTATTTCGATTTTGTTAACATATCACAGTTACTGTCTCTGGCGGTGACAGTGAAACCGAAAAAAAAGAATCTGTTTGCACATTATTCGAATATTTTTCCACGTATCGAAATTCTTGAGGAAACTGAGTCAAGTGCAATGTGTTTATAAGTACGCTTCAACTGACAACGCAGCCAACTAGCGGTTATTGACAGCCGATCAAAACGACCAGTGTAGGCTTTTGTACATTTTTGATTTGTTTCACTACACTTTCTTGTACATCTGACTCTCCTGTACATTTGTTTGACTAAACGAAAATACACATGAATAACTCTGCGGCGGCCAACGTGTGTTCTGGTTTCGAGTGTGCTTGATGTCGTTATTTCTTGGCCTTCGCTTGTAACCTCTCAACATTCTTAGCAATTTGTATGAGCTGACGGAGACTCCCTCCTCACAAGCCTACTTCACATATCATTGCGGAACCGACTGCCTCTATTCAACCGGTTCCTTATCGGAATACTATCTCGCTCCTTGAGAGGATTCTACTTTGCGTGAGTGTGAAACATTCCTTTTCTGATTCCTCGAATCTGTACATCCTTTTTTTGCGGTTAAACACAGTTCCCCTATTTGGAGTTGGTTTTCCCTGTATATATTACTGTTTGTAGTTTTTAAGTCCCCGTTTCCACTACAAAATTGGTGACCCCGCTCTTTCATGCATTCCGAACCATTTTTTATTTACCATGGCCAGTAACGACTCCCAAAAAGACTCACTCGGCATTAACACCCTTTCTTTTAAACTGCCACCGTTTACACGTAGCAATCCTCGCGTTTTATTCAGGCAGATCGAGGCTCATTTTGCGACAAGCCGCATTACTGTCGAGCGTACCCGCTATTCGTACGTTTTGCAGTCCCTCCCATTTGATGTAGCTGTCACCGTCGAAGACCTCCTTGACCCCATTCCAGCCGACAAACCGTATATGCGGCTGAAGGAATCGGTAATCCAACGGGTGGCTAAATCGGCCAACCTTATCCTGCGGGAACTTTTCACGCGAGTAGAGCTAGGTGATCAGACCCCTTCCCAGCTCATGCGTCACCAGCGCTCACTTCTC